TTTCTATAAAGAGATCTTTTTGAATGAAAAATTGATAACTAAACAATTTTGATGTTTTTAAAGGCTTAAAATATAAAAAATTTGTTAACACGAATTTTCTCTATGTGTTCTATTTATTATTTTATCTAAGTTTAGCTATTAAATTAATAAAATTATGATTATAATAAGGTATTTTAAATTAATTTACATAATTTTAAAAGTATGTGTACGATTAAATACAACTATTTTAGTATAAGCTTCTAAAAAAGACGTATGAAATAATATTTATAACAAATGAATGTTCAGCCGTATGGCTATAACATTATACATATGTCTTAAAATGATTGTATATCTAATAAAATAAGAAAAACATTTAGGGGGAAGGGGTTATAATTCATCACCCTCCCATTTACCCGGTTACGCCATGACCTTTAGGTATTTTATTTTTGAAAAAAGAGGTAGTTATAAATAAGTAATTTTTGGAATGCATTATTTTTTTTGAACCCTCTTCCTCCATAACAAATTTGAATATACAGTTCTGTATATATGGGTAAAAATATAAATATTATATAAATTATAATAATTTTAGGTTGAGCATAAAATCGGCTTGGTATATTACAAATTATAAGGCACACAGAAAACTACTTGACATCAATATTTTGAGGATAAAAAATTTATATTTGAATTAATTGTAAGAATTTATCACAGATATGAATTTGTACAGTAAGTTCATTACGTTTAATTAATAAAGGACAACTGGACAAGGATTTACATTTTTAATATGATAATACATAATGTGTAATGAACCAATGTACTTCTGGTTTGAGTTTTGAGGTGTAATGAAACTTAAAATTTCATGGTTCAACCATTTATTGTAATACATTTATAAGGAATTAAAATTAATGATGAAATTACACATCCAAGAATAATATCAATCGTTGTAAAATTTAACATTTTTATCATTAATAAATATAAAATGGATTTCAATATTTTTGAGTACATTATTTAGACTGTAGTAAAAGAGATTTTCAAATTGTTGTAATACACAATAAAAATAAAGTTAAACTTTTTAATATTTTTTTCATAGAAGAACTCACGTGTGTATATAGGTATAATTAAAAAGTATTTCAAAAACGTATTAATTATTATTATAATTTGATTATCATATAATAATATGTATTTAGAGACAGTGCTCGACTTGGCAAAATTAAAGAAGGGGGACTCTATTTACTTTAAAAAAAAGAACGTCCCCAAAACTGGCTGAGCATTATGTTATAGCGTAATAATAGTAGGGCGACGCTAAACTTTCTGAAAATTAGTTGGGGTACTCCGTTCCCCTGCGTCCCCTTCAAGTCGAGCACTGTTTAGAGATTGTACAAAACACATATACATTGGTAAGTATAAAATATCACAATATAATTCAATATCTAAAAACAAATAACTTAAAACTAATGTGAAAAACTAACAAAAAAACCTAACTGTATGTTGTATTGCGTAAATATTTTTATCAAGGAAATATTTAAAAAAAAATTTGAAATATTTTATTAACCTACGTAAGAAAAATTATAATAAGAAATTAAATTAAATTAAAATTAAAAATTATTAAATGGTTAGTAATCGTAAATTAATAAATAAATAAATAAATAAATAAAAGTTTAGCCTGGATTATTATTATATTTGTGAAGTGTGAACAGTTTTGATTTAAAAATTCATTGTCAGGTGAATACAAAGTCAATAAAATTGTGACTGAATATGAAAAAATATTTTATTGAGTCGTGATTATATTTTTTCATATTCAGTCGTGATTTTATTAACTTTGTATTTATCTGACAATAAATTTTTATTTCAAACCCGTTCATACTTCATACATAACACTCTAAACTAAGCTTTCATTAATTAATTTATTTCTATAAATTAACAATTTGTTTATTATTGATATATTAATAATAAGAGATATTTCATTTTAAATATGCTAAGCAACCACTGGTTGTTTATGCATTAATTATATATTTACTATGTAATGTAATATTAATTAAATATTTAATATATTTTTCAATTTTTTTTATTTGAACTATTAAATATTAAACATGAATACCTATATATCTCAAATTAGATATACGAGGAATCGTACAATTAATAAAAGAGCATTTAGCATAAATTATTGTTATTTCACTAAACATTATTATTGAACACAAGTTATTGCATACACATATATCCATTGTTTATAACATTCATAATTATAATGTATATTATTTATTATACAGCTATATAATAACTATATGAAAAAACATCTATACACCCCCACCAGATTCATCGATCACTTTTAAAAATGGCGACAGCTATGGTAAATTTATTCTATTGTAAACTATTATATTGTGCAACTCGACCAACCTCCTACAATGTCCACCTGTCTATATCGAAAAAAAAACTATATAAAGAAATGTCCACACGTATGTTCTACCACTTCTTTATTCTATTTCTTAGTCAAGGCTGTGCGTCATTTTCCACGTAAATTGCAGCTGTTTCGTCTTTTTTTCGTGTGTAATTTTTAATTTTCATACATTTAGATTTTAATGTGAAAATGTTTGAAACTTACTAATAGTGTTCACATTAATCCATTATATCATTTACTATGTGTATAATAAATTAATGTGAACTTTTCAAAGAAACCATGATTTTTGTATAGTATATTTACGTGTTTGATATATAAAGATATTCACAAAAAATTATATTTTATGCATATAATAGTATTATATATATGTACATACAAGCCGATTTACCTCAACATTACTCGGGTTAGCTTTTAATTATTTTTAATAACTGTTTTTATTAATTTAAAGTACAAAAATGTATAATTTAAATTAAGTATTAATCGGTGCATATTATTTTCGGTTAACTTAGCTCTTGCTTACATAAAAGGTTTCTCTACACATTATAACAATATAATAATGTAATATATAGATGTCCATGGGACAAACGTCGATTTTTCAAGTCCAAGCCACAAATTATCATTCTTTGGCATTGAAACATATTTAATTTAATAAAATTATTTAAATTAAAGCTATTTGAAATGAATTGGAGATTATGGCGGTATCAATGGAATATGTGACAAAAGGACGATTTCTCCTTTTAACTTACTAGTCAAAATAGTTGTTATAAGAACATTTCTGGGGATTTTACATGACCATGTAAAATAGCGTGGAATATCATTATATATCAATGTATATGTTAATTTTTCAAAAACATCAAGTTTTTAATCCAATTTGAAAAATTCATTTAAAAATGCTAGTGTCATTTTTAGTGGCTTATAGAGAATATTTACTTCAGTGAAATATACACGTTATTTTTTTCAAGATGTACTGCAAGGTCGTGTTCTACTTTGTCTCGATATTACTTGTCACATACGTTTATCACACTGTTTTCGAGATAGTTGTGCACAATTCTCTCTAGTTCTAACTCTTTGAGCTGTGTTTCCTGCCATGATTTGATTAGTCAATTAATGTCCTCTTTTAATATGGTTGTGTCATGCAGAGGCTGAGAGCCAGAGAGCTGGTACTTTGATTGTGAAGGTTAAATTTTTTTAATAACATTTAAATAAAATAGGAATAATATAATTAAAAGCAATAAAATAACATTTTTACATTCTTAAACGTTATTGATTGTACAATTTGATATTATCGAGGTAATAATTAAAGTGTTAATAAACAAACTCCACCTCCATATGTTAGAAACTTACAGAACTTTCACATAATTACAACCCTTTGTCCAGTAAAAACCATTTAACTAACAACATTAATCAAAAAATAAACAATCATATAATATAATTTAGATGAAATCATAAACATGGAGTACAAATTAAAATTGGTAAAGGTTCAGTAATTTCTGAGTCCATTGAGCACAAATCGTCGAATACGTCATTTTTATGTATAAGAATATTATGATATAAGCGAATACTATAATTATTAATATATTTTAATCATATTAAAATATATTTTTTAAATGTGTAACAAAAAAATAACTTACGTTATATATGATCAGCATTTAATTATAATGTTTTTTAAAGTTTAAACTTAAACTTCGAATTTTTAATATAAATGTAAATAGTTATATTGGTTTAAAAGTGACATATACATTTCGATTGAAACAACAATACTGAGAATTTAATTTTTTTTTTATTCTTTAAACTGTTCCAAGTTATTTATTTTAATTATCATGTATATTGGTTTTACCAGCAATATGCGATTTATATAATAGTATTTACATACCATTTGACCTTTGATTATTAGTTCACTATATTTATCAAATATTTAATAGTAACATGAGAAAAAAATTAATTAATTCTTTATAATAAAATTCTCATATAATTTATTAATATTAAACTTAGACAGGGACCAAAGAGATTGTTCTCGTTTATTATAAAGTCAAGTTAGAATTGTAGCATTTAGGTAAATTAAGAATGAATCAAACACTTAGTCATTATATAAAATTAAACTTAAAAAATAAATTAAATTTATTTAGAGATATACATATATATATACATATATGTTCATATCAGTTAAGGTCATTAAAATATGTAAATGGTAACACGTAAGCACTAAATGGCAACGTACTTGAGTCACTGGAGCTATAATTGTATACATGATATGATATCAACGGATAAGCTACTAATTAGATACTAAACCCGCAAAAACCTCGTTTATAAAGCTTGGGTAATTATACTTTACCCCCCCAATTACCAATTTATTTGGTTACATTCTACATTATAATTTAATGTAGCTTAATTAATAATATAAAATAAATTTATATGAAAAAAATATTCAAAGATAAAAGATAATTAGAAATAAATTTATAATTTTGGTGTTTAAATTTATATTATATGATTTTGTATTACACTATAATTATAATTATACTATTATAATTTATTATATAATTTTCTTTTGAATTTATTTAAAATATTATAGAAAAAAGTATAAAGTACGAGTACTTAAAAGTATAATTTATTGTATTTATTATAAAATGTATTGAAAAACTTTAATATTTCATCGTCAATATATTCATTCTTAGCAACTTAATTTTTAGAAAATATTAATTATAATTTAGTTATTTTTATTTATGACATTTGTATTCAGTTGATTTATGGTGGTGACCAGAATGATCACTTCCTTCATGGTTGTGGCCTGAATGATCTTCATGGTTGTGCCCTGAATGGTCTTCATGGTTGTGGCCTGAATGGTCTTCATGGTTGTGGCCTGAATGGTCTCCATGGTTGTGGCCTGAATGGTTTTCGTGGTTAGAAGATGAATGGTCATGATCAGCAAGATCACCAGCGTCATGGTCAGGACCAGTATGATCTTCAGCTTCTTTGTATGAGGGGTCTTCATTGATAGGATGACTCAAACATTGTTGAACTAAAACTACAGCTATCAAAAGCCATAACATCTAAAAAGAACCAAGACATTTTAAATATTGTTTATCTACGTTGGAAAATGTTCAATCGTCTTTAGATGTTTTTTAATTTTCTATAATCATAGTGTTTATAAAGTGTATAAATAAATATAATAAATCAATATTATAAAAATTAGTAGATTCGATTTAACTAGGTATTTCTATTAACACGTTGACGGATAAACAGAAATACCAGTTTGTTCTAGTATATATAAATATAATATACATATTCAGAGTTAATAGACATACAAACTATTTATTTAAATAAAATTAGTATGATTATGAGTATGTTGATATGTGAAATTCAATATTAAAGTAAAAAGTCAATTACTCATAATTTAAATTAAATATTAATAATTTTATATTTCTAAGTATTTTTAAATGAATCTTAAACATAATTTATTTTAAAGTTTGTAAAATAATAATTGACATATAAGTACTATATTGATTTTTATTTTTAAATTCTAATTTTATTTGTATTGATTTTTGTAATTAATTAATTAAAAAAAAAAACAAGTTAAAAAAACAATCCCTTAGACTTTAAAGAAAAGAAAATTTTAAATTTAAAAATAATTTTCATTACTCTTGTGAAGTTGTGGGACACCACACATGATATTTTTTTTTTTAATATTTATTGAATTATTAATGTTTTAATTTCATATTTTTGTATACAATTGAGAAATATATAACTGTATATCATAGGTAATGAAGTTTTTCAAAAATATTTTATTTGTAACAGTTCTAATATTTTGAATGTAATTTAAATATATAATTTTAATTATTATTACTGGTAAGTAAATAAATAATTTATATTCGTTAAAAATTGATAATTATTAAACACGAATTGTCTATATTTTATATCATTAAACTGAAATTTATAAAACACTGCAAGGTAAATACTATAGAAAGGTATTAAAAAATGTTGAACAAAATCCATGTTTAATATTAGCATGTTTTTTTTTTTTTTTTTTTTTTGGACTTACTTGTTCTTTTAGTATTTAACCAACAATAAGCTATACAAATTTAAAATATTGAATAATGCAGTAAACTCCAGATTCCATTTTAAATTTGAAGTGTTTTACAAAAAATTAATAAATATTAAAATTACATAAATATTATTAATTCGAAATAACTAAAATTATTATCAATTATTAATGCTTTTTAATAAAATCTTACAATCATCTAATATATATTCTTAAAATCTATCAATTACCATATTTAAAAGTATAGTTATTTTATAAACTTACTGAGTATTTCATAGTGATGGATTAATTTCAGTTAACAATAATTATAAATAAGGAAAAAATTAAATTATATGTTATTCTAATAATTAGTGAAATAAACTGAGAGTTATATGTTGAAACAGCTTTTTATAAACACAGGAACCTTCGAGATGATAAATAAAAAAAAACTTATCTATAATTATATAGTTTTTTAAATACGAGTAGCCACTTCCAAACTTTTCAGATATCTTATTTAATATTTGATTGATGTTATTTTATATGATAATAATTATAATAGTTTTGGTAATCCACGAATACGATACGATAAAACATACTTTTACTTTAACAATTATACTTAGTTAATAGTGATAAATTTTATAATAAAACAATTATTATTGATATTTTATCATAATATAAATATGAGTTTAAACTCCATATGAATAAATAAATAAAAAATGAGTTTAAGGAGATTGCAAACCATGTTTTTTTCTTTTTCTATTACACGCGCAATATAGGAATTTAGACGTTTTCTATTTCCAACGTACCGATCGATCTATTAATGCGATAAGGATTTTAAAAACTGATTTAAATTCTTCGTAAATTTTTTTTTAGATCGACTTTCCCATTTTTTTGATTTTGTCTCCCAAAATTTCACAAAATAGTATTAAATGAATTGGAAACATAAAAAATGTGAGAACGTCGATCTAAAGAAAACTGTACTATGAATTGAAATGAGTTTTCAAAATCCGTATCACCTTAATAGATCGATCTGTAGGCTGGAAATAGTAAACGTCTAAATCCCTATATTGCGCGTGTGATAGAAAAAGAAAAAAACATGGTTTGCAATTCCCATAATGATGATTTTAATTTTAATTTAATAAACAATGTGTGGACCATAATACAAATATATTAATAGACGTAGTTAATATCCTTATGAAATTTTGTGAGCAAGAAATTTTTGACTTCCATGGTGTTATGATTCCAGAAAAAATTAGAAGTAAAATAAAAAAAATAATTTCAAACCGTTATAAAGTATTATAACTTCTATATTTATTGTTTATATGTAAACATTTTTATACATAGAAATTATTTAACCTTAATATTCAAAAATATAATTAAATAGAATTTTTTAATATAGAATAATCCATTGATCCAATATACAATAATCCAGTGGGATAGAAATACTCAACAAATATTGTTTAATAGGCAATCAAACAGTATTTACTAGTAAAATACATTATTTATTTATACGTTTTGTAGATGTGTTTTGATGGTGGTCTGTTGTAAAATATTTATTGATTTTCAGCCTTTATGGATCAAATATATATATACCTATGTAGAATGACTATACATTGATATAACCAGTACATAGGTTTATACTAATTAGGTATAGAGTTCAACTTGTCTTACATGTATAGTTATTATTTTTGTTATTTGTTATTATTGTTTTATTATTTCCTGAATATCTTTTAGCATTAATGCACAATAAATATATTTGAATCGCATTTAAAAATATATAAAAAAATAAAAATTGAGAAAATAGAAATTAATGTTTTAGAATTTATTGACCAAATGATTAATGATTATTTTAAGTTCAAAGTATGCTATTTACAATGTGAATTGTATTATTTTTTATTCATTTGACAATAGTGTACAATGTTGTGTTTGTATTTTATCAATTATCTGGTAATATACAACTAAGACTCAGGCCGACAGCTCTTTCAACATCTAGTGTGACACGGTCGTAAAGTAAATTATAAAATGAGGCCTCCTAACCAAAAATGTAAATTATCTTAAAAATCTAAAGTACACCGCTTTCACACCTCCTATAAGGTATTGATTAAATATTTAATCGATACATAAGGTAATCAAAAACATTGCATCATTAATAATTTTATAAACTAACTTATTTTAAATATTATAAATTTATAAGTGAAAATCGTATTATTTCTAAAGCTCAAAGTAAAAAAATCATCAACTAAATGCGTAATTATAATTACGTATACGGTTAATAGTAATCATCCCCACAACTCCACTTCCCCGCTCATCAGTTATGACTCGTCGAGTTGCGATAACGAATTTATATAAATAGGAATAAAATTGAATAATTAAAACACTATTCTTGACTTCCTTTTATAATTTAGTCATGGTATTGATTTTATAATATTATTAAATTAATAACTCGTAGTATAATATACTCCATAGGATATTAACAATTACAAGAGTAATATAATTATAGTATAAATATCTCATTTTAAGTAATTCGTAGATGTTTATGATAAAATATAAGAAAAAAACAATTTTTATTGTTTGTCTACCAAGCAGTCACTTGCATTACTAAAGGCCCCAAAATTTCACTTTGCCAACTTACCTGCTGTTTGCGCCACTGCCATTACACTCAGTAGTGTAGTGGAGGGTACACGGGGGTACACGATGAGCACCCTCCTTTTAATTTTTGGAGATGGTAAACTGCGACAAAATTACACCTTGTCTAAAAGTTGATATATAAACTGCGCCGCAAAAAAAATTAACATTATCCATCTACAACAAACGCGATAAGATACAAAATACAAACTGCGGCAATTTATTTTATATATATATATATAAAACATATATGTAGATACTATATGTAATACATATTATGTATATATAGGCGTGCACACGGGAGGTGCCTGGTGTGCCCGGGCACCCCATGAAACGTTGTAAAATGGGCCCAATATTCGACAAGTCTCAGGGTAAAAGTTCCGTATTTTAACTGATGTAGCTCGAATTAATTCAAATTTATTCTAAAATATTTGGTAAAAATTAAATGGCGTCTAGTAATAAGAAAAATAAAACTAAATTTTCTAAACGTTCGAGCAAAAACTTATGACGATAGTATAACAACTACAATTTACTACAAAAATATATCCAAGGAAAATATATTCGTTGGGACTTGTAAACCACAATATTTTTATTTATTTATTTTTTTATTAAAATAGAAAAAAATTTACAATCTGTATAACATAAATACAATAAGTAAATTGGATGACATTTTTACCAGTCAGGACGATAAATACAGGTCTGCGCACGCCTATGTGCATACCGATACGATAACACATTTAATTAGAAATAAATTTTATGGTACAGCTGTGTATAGGTACGCATTTGATGGGTAACTTAACTTCATGATCGATAACGTTTGCATATTATTTGCTATCTTGAAACATACAATTATTGTTTTTAATAGATCGTAGTTAGTTAGTTACAGAAATAAAAAAAATAAAATAAAAAAGAAACGTCTTGCTGTATAAATACTTTTCCCTAACATCATAAAATTATTATTATCTATTATAGTTGTCAAACAAATATCAAACATTAACGCTTAGCATTAGGCATTATTGTTAATATTAGTTATTAATATTTCCTACTATATTGTCGTAACCGTAAACATCCGTAGATGTAGATAGTCACAAGTGGCTAGGAATGTCTTACTTTAATTTAATAAAAATAAAAAAATTTAAAAAATTGATCATAGTAATCGTATAATCAAAGATATTAAAAATTGAAATAATAAATTAATATTACAATAATTGTGTGGAATGAAAATGTAAGAGTGCAGGAATGGAAAGAAAAAGTTCAGGACCGTGAAAAATGGAGAGATATTGTGATGGCGGCCAAAACTTTTAGAGAGTACTAAGTGCCAGAGGAAGAAGAAGAAGATAAGATAAGATAAGAAGATAAGAAGATAAGATGTCCAGGCATTCTAATAAATTTATTTAACATTTTACCGTTTATTCTTTAAACCTACTTTTTTCAAAAATTCATACCATGAAATTCGTCCATCTTCTTTAATTTGTTACTATTTTCCATAGAGCATAAGTATTTTAAATTTTTGAGACATGTAAATATAATTATGTTTGTTTCCTTGTCAATAATTAGCAAAAAATTTTCATTCTTGTCAGTCATTATATTCATATTTATTTAAGCTTCATGTAATTCATTAATATTCTTGGGAAGTGGTAGGTGATATTTAATTCTTTTATTATATAAATTTCTACGTGTATATGAAATATCATTAATTAATAATAATGTTTCGTTTTCTAAACTACGAAGTTCTTTTCTAATTATTTTAGATGGAATTTCGTTTATATTATTTTCGGACATTTTTCGTTTGATATTATTACTTTACGGCTTAACGTTCAACTGTAGAATCTGATTAATGATTATGTACCAAAAATGATTTTTCTTGTAGAGTATCATTTTTGTTGTTTAAGACCAATTTTGCTCTGTATGTTTTTATTTCGACTTGCATTATAATATATATTATTTTTTATCTTCTAGTACTTCTAGTGAGTAAACGCGCAATTAGGTTAAATGTTAGACAGGTCATATTTTAGACGTAATAAGTGTAAAAGTTTATCGAGCATTTATTTCCTGTTACTTTTTTCTATTGATTTTATTTATCATTAGGTACATTATTAAATATAATTTTTATGGACTATCATCGATTCACGTATAAACATTTATAAAATTTCATCCGGACTTTATTTCTCTACATAATGTATTTTTTTCAGTACATTTATAAATTATCATTTAGATAGAATATTATTTTCCTACGAGTTTATTATAGTTTATTGCAGATAATTATAGAATATTGTGTTTTAAATAAAAAATCAGATAAACATTTCTCAACTTTAGTAAATACTTTAGTCTACAGGTACACAGATACAGTAATTAACAGTATAATTATCCGTGCCGTACCAACAATAACTGTCAATCTTTAATCGATATAATTGATAATAATACTACTTAATAAACAGTATAAAATTATTAACTATAAAGTATTATCAATTATTAATTACTTAATCTATTGTATAATATTATTAATTTAATTAAAATATGAATTAGTTCAGTTTTTGTCGTTTGAAATACAAATTAAAAGAAGTGGATCAATCGTTATTTATTTATTATTATTTATTATTTATTAATCGTTATGTTAATTTATAATTGATCATGTAAACTTTTGAATTAATTTTATTAAATTGAAAGGAATTAAAATCGAAGTTTTAAACAAATCAATTTCAATTAAATTTTACTTTTGATATTCTCTTTGCATCAGTGCATTGTTGTAGATCAAGGGTCATTGACTTTTTCAAATAATTAAGCTACATTCATAATGTTATGTCTCTGATGATCGACATCTAGGATATTTTAGATTTTTTTTGAAGTAAAAAAAAAATAATAATAATAAAAAAAATTCTAATAATTATTCATTTTTTGTTTATTTTTGTATTTGTATATATATATATATTGTATATATATTTTTATATTTGTATATTTTTGCTTCTTCGTAATAATTATCTAATATTCTAATAATGCACAAAAACAAAAAAAAAAAAAATTAAGCTTATTAGTTGGATACCTAGCATTGGTTTTCTACAAATTAAAGAAGTCTGATATAAAACTAAAAACAGCTGCTCGTTAATTTGAATCCAAGTTACTGTTTGTAATTCTTGAACGATATTTGCTTTTTAAAATATTTCAGACTCAAAAATGAAGTATACAAAGAGCAATGCTTCGTAAATTTGGATATCATTGAGTATTTGCATGTTCCAAAACTCTGAGATAATCTTAAGTAGTGAATATCATTTATAACTGACAATAGTAAACTATTTCGACTATCAAGATTGACCGATAAGGGGATTGGAAGTGCTCCGTTTCTAAGGAGTAAACGATAGGCATTTAGTTTAACAGTTGAAGTCGTTTACTGCTGTTGTGTGAGTAGTAAATGCTCATTTGTGTGAGTGTCCGTGCCTCCGCTACTACCCGCATATTCTACAACGGTGCAATATTCAACACAATATCCAAAACCGGTTTTAGTCAACTAACTTTATCTAATAATACAATAACAAAAGTCATTAAGCGTAATTAGAGTAGTATGCGTGTGTGACCCATATTAGGTCAACGGCCTGCTAAATAATTGCATAAAATAAAAATCACAAGTAATTCATTCATAAATAGTTATAGTTAAAAATAAATCAATAGTAATACTGACTAATATATTTTATAAAAAAAAGTTTTAGAACGAATATTTATAACATCTAATTATTAATTAATTCCAACACAAGCTATAGCTTATAAGAAGTGTGCAATTTTTGCTTGTTTAAATTTCTTGTATTGCAAAACATAAATAAATATACAAAAAATCAAGATGTATTAGAAATGAAATAAAAAACTTAAGGTGACAGAATTAAACAATTTTTTCGGGAATGCCTGGTCTTATTGGTAATCCTCGATCAAACCTAGAATCGATTATTTCTGGAAGTAATGACTCCATATAAAATCGAGTAACAAATGGTTCAATTTTTGTATTCCAAAATGATTCATCTCTAGATATTTTATCTATCACAAAACCTGCCAAAATCATAAACATTTAAAAAACGATTAATAACGACTAGGTATATAATAATTTGATTACCTTTGGGGCTCCATACAACAAAATAACAATATTTTTTTTCGGCAATATTAAGTTGGCTTTGTACTTGAAAATAATAATTGTCCGTTTTTTTTTAAAACAAGCTTCCCCTTATAATCGGTCATATACTTTAATTTTTCGAGAGTAACCGCTTCCTGTGGTGTGTATTCTTTTATACTCGACGGACATTTTATTTCCATTATCGAGTTTTCGTTTATTAACCCGTCCGGACTCGCAACCAAATAATGCAGAGATTTATGAATAAATAAACCTGCTAACTGTATAGTTATTCCTAAAGTTTCTTGAACGGCGTTTCTGGCAATTGACTCATTTTCGATTCCATACCTATATAAACGAAATAATATTTAAATATAATGCATACTAATCTATAACATAGATACAATAGTTACAAATTATAGTTATAAATTAAAATAAATCAATAAATAATATTTTGTAACTACGTCTCAATTATTAAAAAACTTTAGCTTACCTCGTAGTTGAACTTCCTTGAAAAATATCGTACAAAATATGCTTTACAGTATTTGCACGGGAAGTTGTTGGTTGAAGCTTACAAACCTTTCCAAAGTTGGACGCCGTTAGTCGATACTTTCTATATTGTTGCCACATATCATTATCTTGCTGTCCAATTGTACTTCGTTCAATCGCTACTATCTCTTCAGATTTTAATGTTATTTTTTTCAAAAATAGTTCCTTTTTATTTTGATACTCATCAAAAGGCATATCAATTATTTCGTAACCCATTTCCACAGCTCCATAATCATCATCGGGTCCAGAAAATAATTTACGCTTGTTCATTGTAAAACTATAAATAATATTAAGTGATTGTAGTTTGATATTTATTTTTAAAAATATATAAATTAAATTACGTCGATTTATTAAAATTTAAACGTCGTCTTCTTGATAATTTGCACATTTTATCAACTTTTTTAATATATTTTTTTGTAATTATACCAGGACTTAAATTAGTCATTTTTTTATGTAAGTGACTAATGTAGTTAGATCCCAAATTAAACGATGTCACTGCAGTATGACACCTAGCACCATAGGATCCTAAAATAATAATTTAAGATTTAAAAAAATACAATATTTACCTACAATGTGATACGTTTTTATAATAATTATACCTCGTAAAGAATAGTTGATTCTTTTGCCACCAACGTACTTGGCAATCACGTTATTAAAACCTTCAACCACATTGTTATTGACATTATAGATCAGGCTCGATACATGATGTGCAACTATATTTCTGGCCCCTAAGATATCAGCCCATAATCCAGAAGTTTGCATTTGAGGAACTAGATTAACCTCATTTTCTTTCGGGCCTTTACAAAAATAACTAAAAAATAAATAAAATATAATTTATACATATATGTATTGTAACCCACTAACTTAATTTTAAAAATAATTATTGTTCATTTGGTTTGTAACACTTTAAAAAAAATTAATTACCTAGCACAATCATCATGGTAGCCAAATACGTGGTATGGGCTATTCAAAATATCATGTTTTAAAAGAACGACTTTTTCATTGTGACTAAGATTCATTTCTTTTCTAAAAGCTATTGCCTTCGTCACTACACATCTTTAAAAAAAAAATAATTTATTATACATAGGTTTGTTAATTATTCATAAAAACTCATTACCGTAATTTAAGTCGTCTATCTTTTAAAATTTTCCTCAAAACTCCTGGTACTACTATCCCGGAGGTACTCTTTCGACGAGTGGATATATCCACAATACGGTTACAATAATTTCTTAGAATATGATTTACACATTCTATTTTTTTAATAAATATATCGGGTCCATAAGGTTTTGCCAATGATAATTTTTTCATGACACTTGAATCCCCGTCACCAATACTTAGTAATCGATGTCGTGTAAAAATGTGTAAACTCGACAACGAGTATTATATATAGCAATTGTATACCGAATTGTGAGACAATAATAGTTATTGTTATTATTGATTATTATTATTATTATTATTATCATTAATATTAATTGTTATTCTTCTTCATTGTTATTTATTATTCTTATTGTTATAATTCTGTAACTAAAAAAGTTAGCAAAATAAAAAAAAAAGTTCTACAGACTTTAAGTTTTGTTACAATGAGATCTTGAAATAATAAAAATATAATCAATATCTAAAGCACTGATACTAATACACTAATACTGCACTGAAACTAAACTTTAGATGTAGCGCCGTTAAGTACTAACTACTAAGTGTCGACTAAATACATTGATAACTTCGGGCATAATCGTACAGTAGGTATATTGTGTAAAATCATTGCAGTAAACATACCAAATTATAAATATATTGCAATTCATTTGAATTCATTATAAGTCTATTTAGGAATTATATATAGGTACGCTGGCGGCTCGCGTTGCGCGCCGGTATCAAACGTTTCCGGGAAACAATTTATGGCCCGCACGCGCATGCACATGTCTTTACATTTGATGAAATAAAATATTTTGTTCCGATGAAGAAACTAATTTCAATCAATGTAGACCTAAAAGCCTGACAAAAATACGTCAACTCAAAATGATCGTATTTTAATTCTGTAAAAATATTTATACTTGTCGTTGTGTTTTTTAGGTTATTGTGGAAGTCAATTTTAGAATAACTGTTTAACATTCTTAAAAAAGACACTTAAGTAAATCTAAAAATTAAAAAAAAATTTAGAAACTCAAATAAGATTTAAAAACAATTTTAAAAAAAAATATCAATAATTGATTTCCACAATAACCTAGAAAAAAGGTCGATCAACTCAAATCTTTTTACAGAATTAAAATATGATCATTTTAAGTATGCGTAATCTTGTCAGGCTTTTAGGTCTAAAACGTGAAATAAATACGCTGCTTCCAATCGCCATAATGGTAAATTTTTAGAAACAATAAAGCAAACCCCAATATTGGATTATTTATTATACGATCGACCAATAATGGTAAAATAAATTTTTATTACGATCGACCAATATTTCTAGAAAGATCGATCAATCAATACATTTGTACCACCATAAAAAAAATTCAAGATTAACCATATATAGATAATTTAAATAATTATAAAACAAACCATAAGTACCTATTGCTTATTTACTTTTTTCAGTTTAATCAAAAAATTGTTTTCATTAATAGTTATTTAATATTTCAAAATAAAATTGTTATAATTAAATTTCTAAGACCCGACACTAAATAAAAATGGATTCGTATACTATTATAACCATAATATAAACCAGAGACGTATTCAGAAATTTAGCACCCGGGTGCTAACGTTTTTCCGCCCCCCCCACCCACCAACAAAAATTATTTAACTTTTTCCACCTACTGAGCGCATCGGAGCTTATCTTCCAGTAACCATCCATAAGCCGTATAACAGCCTTTACGTTATCGTTATATTTTCAAGCCCTTTCTAACTTATTTGTTACATTTGTGTTTTTAATGTATCCACTTTTTGTGTTCTCTGATGAAACCAGTTCCCATTGATTATTTAATCAAAAATTTCCATTAAACAATTTTTAGTTGTTACAAAAAGAAAGCACAGTTTAAACTTTAAACATTATGTTATCTTAATAAATTAGTCATAAAAATAAAATAGATTTATTTATTATTTATTATTATTAAAAAACAATATTTACAATTTACATATTTTTTTTACGAGTTTTAAAATAACTATATTCATTGATTATGTCATCATACTGTAAACTTTTTGTGATGTCTGATTCAATATTTAATATACCATACTATTTAGTCGTTTATCGTCATTCTCCACCGCAAGTAACTTATTTACGTTTTGGAGAGGTTTTTCGTCGACAAATTTTTGTCCATGCCCTCCAATAAATATTTCTAATCTTAGAATATTATCTTGGTTAAAAAAAAAATTAACCAATTTATATTATTGTTCATCAACATAAAATGGAATGTGTAAACTGACGGGGCGATCTCCATTTCTAGCCCTCCTCCTCCTAAATACGTCACTGATATAAACATAACCACTCTCGCTTCTATAAGACAATATAGTTAATCTTGTATCTTAAAAATTAAATAGAAATTTGAATACAATGTAAAATTATCAAGTATCGCGAAAGACATGAATTAAAATTTACATAAAAAATATCTTAATTTTAAATTATAAAATAGAGACGGCTGGAAATACTTAGTAAAAGCATGTAAAAGATCTTAATGATCTGTTAAACAATAAAAACAAAAAAAAAAATCATTATTTTATAATAATAATAATTTAATAATTTATTATTATTATTTAATTAATAATAATATAATTATTTTTTTTATAACTATATTAATTTTATCTACAACAATATTGATAACCAATTAATTTATTACTCTTTAATATAAATGCAAATACCTATATAATAAACATTGATGACATAATTACGAACTTAAATAAATAATTAATTTTGACTGTAGTACAAACATCATAAATAAATATATATATGAATATTATTTATTACAAATTTCTATTTTCTGTACATTTTTGTTATGCTTTTATGCTGGTTACATAATATACGACTGTAATAATCGATTGTTATACGTAATACTTTACGAAGTACTCATTTAAACAGTACTGCATAAACGACACTGATGTCGACCGAACGAAACTACAGATATTATTTAATTTAATTGTTTTTAGTTATTTTTAAAAAATAATCATTGTTTTAATTATAAGATAATATTCTGTCGATCGCATTCCATTAAAAATCCAACAATTATTTTTCATTTACAGCCATGCAGGTATGTATTAAAATATTATAAAGAAGATAATATATGCATACGTAAAAATATGTACTGTAAATATTAAGTTAATGTAATAAGTATATTCAAGAAGCCATACGCCTGTATCATAATTTTAATATCTAGTTACTCATGATTTAAGTCAATGACATAGTGATATTGAATTATAGTTTATATTAATAAATGCATTTAAAAATGAAAACGACAGCTCCGTCAAAGAAAAAAGTGTCATTAAAATCTATAATAACTATTAAAATTAAATCGATTATTCAACGATACAAAATATATCAAATTCGGTTAATGCAGGGTTTAAAGTGGATTGGTGCAAGTTGGAAGGAAACACCCGTGAGTGGACGAACGAAAATCAATGACCTATTTCGTGGATTAGATGAAGACAGAGACTTGTTAGTCAAACGTCTGAAAGCTGGTCAAAATTTATACCCCAACTGTGACACATCAATTTGGCTTAGAAACTGTACACGTGAGATTTCAAGTCCTATTCAAGGCAAAATAGAAGGTAAATAATAAAAAATGTGCAGTGAATAAAAAATTTGATTAGATTTAAGCAATGCAATGTAGTTTGTACCTTATAAAACATTTTTATTATAAAATAATATTTTACTATTCTGGTTTATAATTTTTAAAATAGGTCATATACCTGAATGGTTATCAGGATCTTTATTGAGAAATGGCCCAGGAAGTATACGAGTTGGAAATTATGAATTTAAACATTTATTCGACAGCTCAGCTTTATTACACAGGTAAAAAAATACGATTCCTTGAAATTGAATTTAATAATTCTAATTTATTATTTATTATCTGTGATAAGTTATACACTCATTATATATATATTTATGTCTACAATAGATTTGCATTCAAAAATGGAACAGTGTCTTACCAGTGTAGATTTTTAGAATCTAATACATATAAACAAAATAAAGCAGCTCAAAGGATTGTTGTTACCGAATTTGGAACCAAAGCATGTCCTGATCCTTGTAAAACAATTTTTCAAAGGTAAATAAACAAATTCAATACATGTAACATTAATTACATTATCTGGTTACTGTAACTTCTTACACATTGAAAAAATAAGAAATACTTTTTATTGTTGTTTGTTCAAGACATTTGAAAATCATGAATTTACTAAATATCATATTATTGTAACAAATATATAAAAATAGCAAAACAAAATCTTATATATATTTGTTATAAGATATATAGGTAAGTTTTATTTTCATTAAGATAAATTAAGGAATGAAGGAATTTACAAAATATTCAAAATTACATATTTTATTATATAATTACACGTAGATAAGTAATATATTATTTATGTTATATGATACTAAATTAAAATCAAATATAATATACTTTAAGCAGCTAAAGCCACATATTACCATCACTGAATTAATATTTAAAACATAAGTGTATACATTTATAATATACGTTAAATTAAATAATAGAAAATATACTTGAAATAAATAATGAAATAAAACATAACTCAATTTTTTATTTTAGATTTTCGAATGTATTTAAATGGGGAGAAGATCAATCAGACAATGCTATGATATCTATTTATCCAATTGGTGATGAATATTACACACTAACTGAGTATCCAATAATGATAAGAATTAATCCCACAACACTCCAAACACTTAATTCTGTAAGTATAATTTATTAATAATTATATAATATATATTAAATAATACTACTTATACTTAGCACAAATACTGGTAGAACATTTCAAATTTAAAATAATATAAGTTTAAATATCTACATATATACACAAGGTTTCGATATATACTGGTTTGACGGTTTTACGGTTTGACAGATTTACTCCGAATAATAACTGTTAAATAATACGTCAACCTTTTTTTAAAATAAATACTATATAAAATATATATTATATATATAATAAATATATATACTATATATAATAAATATCGAGCAATAAAAATAATGGCAATATCGAGACACCGTTCAGTTATGCGGTGAATGCCACTGAATAAAGTTATTGGTCTCCAATTCTGTAGATCAGTTTCTATGTTTTTACCTTTGTAAATGAATATGGTTATCCCTGTCTTTAATTTTGATGAAACATAAATCCATGTCAACATTACCTTTGCGATCGCTAAAATTGTAAGTACGCATTTCGTATCACGGATTGTTTTGAGTACGACTCCTTCAGGTCCTGGCGATGTATCGATAGATATTTTCTAGTTTGTTAACTCAACAAAGCGCAGCTTGACGTCTAATTGTTGATGTAATCATATGTAGGTACCCAAGATTTCGTTATTCGTGGTTTCGTAGTATTGGATGAAATACTTCTCCATTGCATTGATATGTTGCATTTTGATGGTAGTGGAAAAATTTTATTTTTATTTATTTATTTAATATAAATTATTTTATTTATTATAAAAATAAAAAGTGGAAAAAATAAAATACATAGACATAGATATTTTTGTTATTATTATAATAATCATGACAGTTGACCAATATATAGAAGACAGGAAAAAATTTCAACCAAAAGTTTACATACGTGTAATCTTCCAATGTTTTTTTAAAATGTTATTTTTTTATCATAATATATGTAGGATTGTTGAAAATCGGCGCAACACGATTGCGCAAAAAAATTGTAACACAATTGCGCCCTGATCCCTTTTTACCTGATAAAATCACAACACCATTGCGCACCAAATTATATGTGTATGTAGTATGTATAATAATTTATGTACAACATAAAATAATGTATACAATACATACTTTCTATAATTTACATATACATGCACTTAAACTATTAATTCATAAGATTAACTTTTTCAAAATCGAAATGAAAAGTTAATTAAGCTAATGATAGTTATAATAATAATATCGACTAATAACTATCAGCATAGAAAAACAAAACAATTTTTAATAAAAAAAATGTTATTATTCCAATTAGACAGATATAGCCCGCATGATTGGTATTGTGCATCATACAGCTCACCCGCACGTAGAAGCCGATGGTGCCGTTTTCAATTTAGCTACGGTACCAAAAATTAATGGCCCTCACTATTGCGTGGTTAAATTTCCTCGATTCAATCCAGGTAAGATTTTTAAACGGAAATAAATATGGACATGCAAGTTTATGTACTTTGAACTTTGAACTTTTACTCTTATAACTGTATAAATAATCCTGTTTATATTCACATATTATATTCAAACTTATATATGACGTATCCTTATCAGAATTAATTACGCGTACGGAGTATTTTTGTTGAATAAAACTAACTTTATAAATTAACTGAGTAGCATCGAAAAAAAAATGTACCTAAAAGTAACCTATACTTATATACTTTGGTTCAAGTGTTGATAGATATTTTATTTTTTGTTTACGCTAAGAAACCGGCTGCCAGAATTCGACAGATGAAATGTTTAGACAAATATGTATTGTGGCTTCCATCAAGTGTCGATGGCCATTGCATCCTGGATACATGCATTCGTTTGGTATGACAGAACATTATTTTGTGATAGTTGAGCAGCCTTTGAGCGTTTCATTGTCAAGTGCCATACTAAATAAATTCAAAGGAAATCCGTTGTCATCTGCGTTTAAATGGTTCCAAGATTGTCCTGTAAGTAAATTAATTTAAATAAGATTTTTATTATGTAATGAGTTCAATTTAAATGACCTCCAAGATTTGAAAATACAGATAATTTTAGAAAATATATTTGATACCATTAAAACTTATACCGTAGATGTTGGGGAATCTCATCTAAATCGAAATGTAATTCTTTGGTTTCATGTGATTCTAATTTTAAATAGTTTCTGTTGTTCTTATGTTTAAAAAAGTTCTATTTCGGTAAAATTATGTTCAACATTTTAAATTGAAACAATAGTTCAATCCCAGATAGCAAAATCATAATATAATAACGTTATTATGACATTTCACTTGAAATGAGTAATATTATTTAAGCAATATTAATTCATTATAAATTAAGTATAAAAGTTTAATAATAATATTATAATTATATTTTTTGGCCACAATACCATCATTATTATATTTGTAGAAAGATATTATAAAAACAATTTAAGAACTATATCATTATAATATTTCAAAATAATGATTTTTCAATTGTTTTTTCATTCTCATTAATACATTATAATAATTCAACAAGTTTTTATAATATTAATGTTACGTTTTTTAAGCCCAACATTTAGCTTAAAATTTGAATATAATATTGTAACATACAATCAAAGTTTTCGTCGAATGTCTCGAATATAAATGTCTATACTGTTATTTATTTACCGTATATTTATCTACCTTTCGTTCGTATAGCATTAAGACAATACCGTCGCTGTCTGTCGACCAGTATCGCGTTTGTATGCATCCGTGTCGCGTGTGAGTAAAAATGAGTGAAAAACGAAAAAGAAATGACCTAAAAATTTATGAAAAAATTTCAACACTACAACGTTACAACAATTTACCAAAAATGGGAAAACGAGAAGCAGCTATAAAACTACAAATTTCGGAACCATTATTGTGTAAATTATTAAAAAACGAATTGAAATAGAAAATTCAGCAACATTTAATAAAAATCCAAACATAAAGAGTATACGCAGTGGGAAAGAACAGGTTGAATCAGCATTATCATTATGGTTTATTAATGTTAGAAAAAATTATGCATGCATTAATGGTTCAATATTGCTTCAAAAAAGCTGTAGAACTTGCAAAAAAAATGGGTATAGAAAATTGTATTGTCTCAGAAGGATGGTTTCATCAATAATTATATTTTTAATAATTATGTATTATGATTATAAAATTTGATGTAACACTACATTATTTATTTTTTTTATTTAACGTAGGTTTTATTATTATTTATAACTTTCGTTTAATGTTATCAATCGGATTATGTTATCAGTTATGTCCCGTACCAAAGTGATTACATTAAGTGGCAATCACTGTATTTTCATTTACAACACATGATTTATAAGACTTTTCCAAAAGTTTCTCTTCAAAAATAAATAATTGTTCTTCATCCATAATGGGAATCATCAAATAAAAATCTTCTCTTTCTGTTGATATATTTTGGTGAATGGAGCCTTTGGTTTCATTTACTTGTTGTATTGTATCTGTTAGAATATGTTCCATTTCAATCTGCTTCTGTTGAATGGACTGTACATCATATCTTATCTTTAATACCACATTTAATATCCTCTTCAAAATATATGTAATGGGGGAAAATACTATGTTTAAACAAATTAATAGACCATTATTAATTCTTATAAATATTAATTAATTTAATAAAATCTTTAAAAATATAATTATTGTATTGTTTAGATGTATATGGTTTAGGCAATATGTTTTTGAGTTCTAAATCATCATTAAAGTTGTGTTTAATTGGTGTAGATGGTTTATGACAAAGATTGGATAGCTTTGTGGTATCAATATAATTTAAGGAAAACAATGAGTTATATTGTAATATATAATACATACTCAGTCATAAGTCATGACCATTAAATAGTTTAACAGGTAACATATTTACCTTGTAACACTATTTCTTCTTGCACAACAGGGATTAATGATTGGTAGTTGTCTTGTGGTGTGACCTTAAATGGAGATGTATAGATTATGGATGATATTTCATGAGTACTTTCTGGAGTAGTCGATGAAGACGTATTCTCTGTTAATAATATATAAATTTAACGTGTTATATAATAAAATATAATTTTTTAAATAAATTAGAGTATCAAATATAAATAGTAAAATACCTTGAATTTATGTACTTATTGGTTTAAAAAGAGTTATTTTTATTTTTGAAGGAGGACAATCTGACATCTGAACATCATTATCTTAAAACAACATAATTGAAGATCAATAAATAAAAGCTTTAAATATATGCTTCAATTATTATAATATACTATCATTAGAGAAACTAGAACCAGGCATATTTAGTTTGGATTTTAACGATTGGGTCTAATTATTCTCTATTGTACTGCTTTCTTTATAACTATAATCTAACTCGTGGTCAAAATCTGCGAATGAATTACAAAATGAAAACTTTAATAGTTATAATCAATTTATTAAAACAAAAAAAGGTAAACATACTACAATTAGTATCTGTTTTCGGCAATTTGGGTGAAGTCATCAATGTTATTGAAGTATCTTCCTAGCATCTAAATCATCTAAAAAGACAATTAACTAGTTATTAAAATAATTATAACAATACATATTATTTAAGTACTTGTATAAATTAAATCATGTATATAAAAAGTAAACATTCAATAGGTATTTACCATTTCGTTTATTTTTATGTAACTTTTCAATATACTGAGGAGGTTCTAAATTTATAGCTGTAGTTTTTTTTTTCCATTTTGAATTTTCAATATTAGATAGGTCACTTGTATCCTCTGCTAATTTAACTTTTTCTCTAGTTTCATGTAATGTTTCTATTAAGTAAATAATTAGTAAAAAATTAAAACAATGTACCTATTAATAAAATATTTACCAATGCCTTTTTTCAAAATTCTTGATTTAAAATAATTAAAATCAAATTTATTTGGATTAGTCCTTCGTTGTATATGCTTTTTAACATCTTTTTTTGGCCAGACGCACGTGTTATTTTTCATCCAGTGTGAAGGAACATCCTCTACAGCATTTTCATTATCAAAACTGATTATGCTCCACATTTTTATTGGCTAATTAAACTAAAAGTTAATTTAAATTAATAAACAATTTTAATATGCTAGGTATACTTAGGTACATAAACGGCATGTTACAAAAATTGATAATTAATTAATGTAATTTTTTTTGTCTAATCAGTATTCTTTTATTTTATTTATAATTGATAAGAATGAAAGTTATTACATAGTTAGTCAATAAAATAATTACCTTTCAGTTTTTCTTTATTTAGTTTTGGATGAATATTATCCCCATAATACAAATTTATTAATCTCAGATGTTATAATTTCTACAATATATTAACAATTATTATTTTTAAAACTTAATTAATAATTAGTAATTATTATTGTTTGAAGTTCAAGTTATTATAGAAAAAAATTTACCTAATTTAATAAAAATAAATTCTTTAGATAATTTCTTTAAAGGTACACTAACAATTTTAGAATCTATCTCATTGTCATCTTTCATAATCGTCAACTAAATGGATTAAGCCATGAATATTACTAGATACCAAATGTTGTCCATAAATTTGTTCAAACGATTTTACAAAATATTCTAAAAGATTTCTTGCATATTGGACAAATTTACTAAGACCTGGTGTTAAAAGTATAGTTATAGCTACACTTAAAGCTTTAAAATTTTTAAAACAGTGATCACTCAACACTTTATCTAATATTATTGGTCCAATATATAATAAAAAAAACCTAAACTCAGTTGCTTACCAACAAGCTACTTCAATTAATGTTCTAGGTTTTCTAGAAAACTCGCAAAAAAAAAAAATGGTTTTAAATTAATTATTAGTTCAGATAATTGATTAATTTTCAATGATGGCAAACGAACATTTAAAGGATCTTTCATCCACAACATTAGAAGTTTTTTGACTACACCCAAACAGACCAAGTGCATATAATCTAAAGACGACTAAGAATTTTAAAATATTACGTGCACATACTACACTGTACACTTCAATTAGTATAATAATATTAGCAACGGCGATGTTAAATTGGCTAACACAATCAAGTATTCAAGTGTGACTTGACAAATTGACACAAACACACTACAAACAGCGGCACCAGAATTACAAATACATCCACAAAATGTTTATAATACCTCATTTACATTCAGCCCATTTTCGTGGCAGTGAGCAGGGAAGTGGGCAGCACGAGTATATGAACACGTAACTCGCGCTGATCATGCTCCTCGCATTGTCACTGCCCGTCGCTCCCGTTAGGAGCGGTAAATTGAGCAGTGCGAGCAGCAGATTAACCGACAGCATGATATTAGCACACATTAACAGGGCAATGTAGACGCTCACTATCTACGACGCTGCCACTGAAGTATTTTGACAATGAAATACAGCAGCGCGAGGAACAGCGGCAATGGCTGAATGTAAATGGGGTATAAGAATTAAAAGCCCGTTACTGAAATATATTTATTTATAGAATAATAGGTAAAACCATTGGTAGGGTACGTATTTCGAGTTGGAGAGACGATAGACGTGCGACAATCCCGTACGATAAGAGCCCGTTACTGGAAATATATTTATTTATAGAATAACAACAATAGGGTACGTACTACGTATTGCAACTTGGAGAGACGAGTGACTCGCGACGAGCCCGCACGTACACCAAGTGCCAACATAAATTATAAATGCTGATTAATGGTTACTGATTATACACTTATTCAAATACGTTTGACAAAAATTTTTAAAATCAAAGTACCTATAAATAGCTAGGTACACTCTTATTCATCTTTATGCGTAGTAATATTTATTATTATGCCTAATCTGTATTTTAAAAGCGACGTATTTCACTTTATATATACCCTTACTCAATAACTGTGCTAGAGTTTGCGAGGCCCTGGGCAAAATAAATATTGAGTCTTATAATTTCTATTAATAAAATATTTTAAGTTCAGTTAAATCAGAACCCTCCCCTCACGCCATCCCTGCCCTTACTTAATTATAATTAAATAGTATTAATATAATACCGTATGTTGAAAACATTCAAATATTATTATTAACCAATTTTACCATAAATATTATAATAATTATATTATAATAACTTTATTATTATTATTATTATTATTACCATACATAAAATATATTATAATATTATTAATAATTAAATACGGAAAAAATATTATAACAATTATATTATAATAATTTTATTATAATATACTTAAAATAATATTTGTATTACTGTATAAAAAAAATATTATTATTGAATTACTGAAACGATATTATATTAATAAGATAATTATGTTATTACAATAACATATTTTATATAATATTATCTATGTACTGTAATAATAATAATATTATATTATTATCATCACACAATTGCTATCTGGGTATGTATTACTATTGCTACAAATAAAGTATTTATATTGGCAATTAAGACTATACAAATCTGATAATTAAATAGTATATTTTTTACTTATGCAAATAAATTATTATAAGAAAATGTTTTTTATTTGTGTGGATGTATAGACTCTAATACACTTAATTTCAAGATGTGACGGCAAAACGGTTAAAATATATGAATCTGACGCATTATTTTACCTTCATATCATCAACCAGTACGAAGAAGGTAACCATGTAGTAATTGATATTTGTTGTTATCGAGATCCTTCAATGCTTGATTGTATGTTCGTCGAAGCACTACAGGTAAATTGTTAATAATGAAATGAATGGAAAAATATTAATATAAATTGTATTACCAGTGTAATAACTTACCAATATTAAAAATATAATCAGAAATTACGCATTATATTGGTATTGATCACCAGTGGCGTAGCAAGGGTATGGCGAACTGTGCCTACGCCAGGGGCGCGAATTGCCAAGGGGCGCAAAATTGTGAAAAAGTCGTATTTTTATCCTATAATTAAATCGAAAATTTTCCATTATACTTATTGAAATACGTAGATGTTGTCTATTTGTACATATTACGTGTGAATTTAATGATGAAATTATGAAACTAGGGCATTTAAATAAAAAATTTCATATGAAGAAATTATCGATGAATTTGACAGTCATAAAGCTAGAAAAGCAAAATTTCAAAGTTTAAATTAACACTATAATAATAACTTATAAGAATAAAATTTATACTTAAAAATATTAGTAAAATTAAAGGTTTAAAAAAATATTATGGCATCAAATTTCAATTGGTTAGTAAAGTAATTTTTCTAAGTTTACCAGGGGTGCTAGCGAGTTTTCCTACACCACTGTTTATCACTATTATAAGAACGAGTCACAGGAATATAATAGTATAGTATCTGAATATTTATTTGTGTGTATGTAATAGCAATAACTGAACTGGATGATAGATAAATCACTACATAAATAAAACAATGATCTGCCAAACTCAAATAACTATAAAAAAACTTATATAGGAAGTTCATATTTAATGTGTTTGTAAAAATATAATAAATAATTTAAGAATTTAATTTCAAAAAAATATTTAACTTAATTAAAATATGGAATAACAACTAACAATTAATATAAACTTAATATTAAAATTATAATTTTATCAATAAACATTATAATAAAAAACTAAATAAAGACTACAAATAAGAAGTCGCATTAAACAAAAGTAGTATAATAAAAATCACAATATAATATAGTACTTAGTATAGTATACAACAGTGATGTATTTTCAATTTTTTTGTGGGGGGTTTAAAATTTTTCTAAAAAATAAGTGATTTTATAATATTATAAAAAATACATATATGGTATGAATTAATAACTATATTATTATATTATAATTATAAATACTGTTATATACT